CTGCTTTTAAAAAAAAGTCTTAAGAATAAAAAAAAAAAAGAAAAGAAAGAAACCAAAAAGACAAAAAAACACAGCCTGGGAGAAAATAATTATAAGTCGTGTATCTGATAAGGGTTTTGCATCCAGGATATATAGCGATCTCTTACAACTCAATACGAAGAAAAACTATCCCATGTAAAAATGGGCAAAGATATGGACAATTCATCAAGGAGGATATACAAATGCCAAATAAGCACATGAAAAGATGCTTAGCACCATTGGCCATAGGGAAATGCAACTAAAACTACCTTGAGATACCTCTATATCACAGCTAAAATGGCTATCATTAAAAAGATGGACATGCCAGGGCAACTGGGTGGTTCAGTCGGTTAAGCTTCTGATCTTGATTTCAGCTCAGGTCATGATCTCAGGGTCTGGAATCCAGACCCGTGCAGGGCCCCACATCATTGAGCCCCACATCGGGCTCTGCGAGGGGCGTGGAGCCTGCTTAAGATTCACTCTCTCCCTCTGCCTCTGCCCCTCCCCGACGTGTGCATGCTCACTCGCTTGCTCTCTTCCTCTCTCTCTCTTAAAAAAACCAAAACAGACATGCTGGGTTTTGGTGAGGATGTAGAGAAACGGGGACTTGTGTACACTGCAGGCAGGACTGTAAGGTTGCCTGTCCACTTTGGACAGTTTGGCCATCTCTTTAAATGTTAAAACGTAAATATCGTATGACCCTGCAATTCCACCTTTAGAAGTCTGACAGAAATGGAGATACAAACACACAAAGCCATGTCCACAAATATTCACAGCAACATTTTTCATAAGAACACCAAATTGGAAATAACCCATATGCCAATCAACCGGTAAGGAGGTCAGTACAATATGGTATTCCTAAAGAGGAATGAGGTACTGATACAGGCAAAAATATTATACCAGATGCAAAACACTATATATTGTAGGATTCCTTTTATAGGAGATGTCCAGAAAAAGCACACTTCTAGAGACAGAAAGCAGAGCGGCAGTTGCTGAAGCCCGGGGGTTGGAGCAGGGATTAAGTGCAAATGGGCACCAGGGAACTTTGTGGAGTGATGGAAATCGTTGTCAACCCGGAGGTGGTGATGCTTGCACAGGGTTACGGTGTGTAACCTGGATCTGTTATACATAAAGCTGTTGAAAAAGAAAAAACAAATAGCATTGCTGATGATTCAATTGTGATCTGTCTTAGCCGTACTGGCTGAAGCCTTTGGGTTCCTTTTCCTCACAAGCTTTTGAGATTAAAACTGATCAAAACGATACTTAATAGATTACTCAAAAATACTAAAAAATGTCCTCAAACTTACCACTCTTTTAGGTCCTGTCTCAAGCCTGACATCACACACTCTTGAATGGAATACCACCTGGACCTAGTGAACTCAAGCTGGGCGCACACTGGAGACGGGGTTCTGAGAGCTCACGCCCAGGAACCGTACGTTGTGCTGTAGGTTTGACGGCAGTTGCAGATTTCATTCTTTCACTGAGAGGACACCTTTGGGTGGACCGTCCCTCAATGATTTTCTCTACATGGGCCACAAGGCTTTTGCTCTACCCACCATGTCCCTTGTACACATTAGAGAACCAGGCTGTATTTTCTCAGCTCCTTTTAGAAACTCACTTGCCATTATCAAATACCGTTCCATTCATCAACGCTTACTAAATGACTCTCGATGTTATCTAATGATTCAAGAATGTTCTCCTTGTTGGCACGGGAAAAGGAAGACAATGGGATTAAGGTAGGACAGGTTTCTGATTTGGGTTCATTTGTCTAGACCTGCTTTTTATTTGCAGCCACAACACAGATTCCCAAATAGAGCCCCTCCTTAAGGAGTGACTTTTAAACTTTTTAAAGTTTCCGGGTGGAGAGAGCTGTCTGTAGGGCAGACAGATCCTCTGTGGAGGCCAGAATGCTGGTCTCCCATTTCCCCTTCTGCTTTATACATTTGTCACTGCCTCAATTGGCATCTACCTCATAGGGCATTCACCTCTGTCTCTATCTCTGTGACTAGGCGGAGAACTACAGTTCTTGTTCTTGGTGCCAGGACAAAGCCCCGCGCTGGATGTCTGGGAAATGCTGTAGGTCTGCTGAAGCCAACGGACAGGCTGTCTACCATTCAAGGAACTCTTAATGTTAACACCACCTAAATCGTAAGTGGCCAAATGTGGTTACCTTTTCGGTCAGTTCTACCAGGCTGTCACTTTGCACTGGATCTGGGCAACAGAAGAGGAGCAGATAGATAGGAAGAAGAAAGGACACGAAGGATTTCGAATCAGCTCCTCTATGCTGGACACAAATCATGGTACATCCTTAACCCTAAGAACTAGGAATAATGACATCCATTTTAGGGTCATGCAAAATGAAAACCAGGGTGGGCAGGGAAGGGCTGTCCAAGGAAGACAAATAAAAATGTGCACAGTTGGGTCTTAAGACTCCAAACCCGCTCTTCCGTTCAGAAGCTCGAGGGCCTCAGGGGTGCTGGGGTGGAGCCACACACCGGGGACACAATGGCTGATCAAAACCAATGCCATTCAGTGGCCATATACCTTAAAGCTCTGGTGGGGACCGGATCAGAGATTCACAAAAGTAAATGTGTCGTTATAAATTGTGGAAAATATAAAAATTCAGTACTCTTTCTATTAAGAGGACATCACCTTTCAACAAACACACGTGTCTCCTCATCACAGAAGTATGTACCCCAGCCCTGAAGATGTCACTGTAGACTCTGGTGATGGAATATACATGAGATGCAATGTTTACACAGCTGTGGTCATTTTGTAAACACTAGCGGAACGAGCGAATGATTCTTCTCCAATGAGAAAGTGGCACAGCAGAGTCAAAATGTGATTTGTTTCAATTTTATTTTCCTATCTCAGTTTCAGTAAAAGAATCAGAGAACTTATTGACACAAATCATAAGCTATCTCCCACCCATACACAGTATATGACCACTGTTTCTACTTTTTTCTTTTTCACTGAACAAGGTGATACTGTCTTCAAACCAAAGTACCAAGGAAGAGATAATACAAATGAAACAAAAAGGGAGGGGGGGTATACGTGTGGTCTTTTTATTCACAGACAGTAAATGTATACGTACCACCATAAGGGGAAAAGCACTGAGGAAACATTTGCATCCCACAGGTTAAAAAGTCAAGCAATTAGTACGAGTACCTCCAAAAATAGCAAATTTGGGACAATTAGCTATTACTGTGAAGGAAGTCCCCAGTCTTTTATTTTCCTGCCACCACACTCCTACACTGGAATTTAAGCTCTCTTCACAGCGCGAATATAAAAATCATCGAAGTCAGGGTTTTATGGCAATCTTTTGCTAAAATATATTCTATTTTAATATACATGCTATAAAAGTACACTAAAAAGGTCAATCGTTAGAGCTCTGTTAAAATTAAGAATTTACTTTTTTACATATAGAATAATGTACACCCACCTCTAAAAGTATATTTGAGGAAGGATATTACCGTGACCCCAAATATTTCTAGCTTCGTATTTTGTTTATAATAGGACTGATTTTATAATACATGTATTCAGTAACGCTCTCTTATAATTCTGCATTGCAGTGCCTCACCAATCACTTTAAAGAAAAATGCGGAGGGGACCATGTATCTCCAAGCAGTTCTTTCTTATTGTGCAGATCAAGTTTTCAATGTAAGTTCCTGTGACAAATTTTTCATCTTATTTTTTAACCTCTGCTAATCTAAATTCTTTTATGATCAGCATTTGGAGCTTTTAATGAGGCAAATATAAATGAGAGATGCTGAAAATTAAACCTGTAGGTAGCCTGACTTTAAAAGGAATCATTCCCTCCTGTAAAAACATTTCCAGTGCCGATTCTAGGTTTTCACGGGATGGTCTGAAATAATGCTGACTGAACACATCCCATGCGGACGAACTGACTGCGTGCAGGCCAAACAGAGAAATTAGACTCCTGGTACCGAGTTTAAGTAGATCTACTGTAATCATGTAGTGCACATGATGAAGCTGCTAGTTACAGACTTCCATCCATGGATCCCAGGCAGATGTGTCCTCTTTTATTTCAGGTATAGTCGGAGAACGGAAATCTAAAATAAGTGAAATCTGTTTCTGATTTAGACAAAAATATTTACTCTCTTCATTAGCAAAACATTCTTTAAAATCTATTTTTCTCCTCTCTGAACAGTTAGCAAAGGAGCACTAGGCAATTTTCGGGAGGCTCTGTGCACTACAATAAATACGGTCGTGGGGAACACACAGCAGCTCTAGCTTATTTACATTCACCGATGAGAATAAACTTCTTATCTGATTACAGTGTCCAGTCCCACAGAGGAAAGGTTTGGCATTCGTGTGCTTTTGGTTCTTGATGAGAATCACTTCTGCTTGATTTTCATTCTCGGAAGAAAAAAATCAGTTGATGCCCTCAGATTTCATGACATGATGTGAAAGAGGAAGGGAGCAAAGATTAGCTGTTAGCAGGGAGCTGGTCGGGGCTTGAGTCTGCAGGCAGATCTTCCTTCTTGCCAGGTGAGTGTCCCGCGGGCACCCAGGGCTCCAGCAGGGAGGCCCCTGGGACACAGGCATGCGGAGCCTCCTCTGGGGACGGGCCGCTCTGGCTTAGCAGAGCACCCCCCTCTCTGCGTCAGCCACCACCCCTACTCGCTACCCTCTATATTGATCTTATGTGCTTGAGGCTGCAGAACTGATGGAAACCAGTTCACTGGGAAACAAGCAAAAGCAGAGAATTCCACCAAGAGGTGGCCCGGGTCGTGCATCACTGTCTTCCGTGGAGATAATCTGTGCAGGATGCGTACATTGTGTTCTCCACAGCAGAATTCTCCTTTGTTTTTCTTGCAACTGTCATATTTTTCCAAACAATTTTATCAGGAGTGGAGTTTAATGTCTGCTCTTTTTGAACCTACCTAAAAGTGGAATGTTTTCCCCTGGCAAATGATTACTTACCTCTTTGAAAAATGGACAAGCATTTTTTTTTTTCTTTTTGAATCCAACTCAGCCCTTCAGAAAGGACTTCAGACTAAGAGGAGGAAGTACAGGAGAACAAACTTCCTATTGTGCCTTACATAAAACACTTTGTTAAAATTAAGAGCAGCTCCAAGTACAAAAGTAAATATTTGTGCAAAGGGCACAATGCCAGATGCAATCTTAAGACATCCTCAATTTACTTTTTTTCTGTTTGACTCTAAAACACAAGTCTTTTACATTATGAAACCTAGCAAGTCTGGGGAAGGAAGTTAACATCAGAAAATACACTTTAGAAAAGGTACAGGATCTTTTGCTGATAATTTGTTACTTATTTTATAACTTGGATCAAGTAAGTGTTAAATATTCACAGTAATTTCGAGAAGAGACATTCGTGTCTGTAAAACGTCAATCTATTGCATTTTCAATCAGTTTTCTGTACAATTACAAAATTTCATCTGTCAGTGCTTTTCTGTAGAACTCCTTATGCTCAGTCCTTCCCTTTCTGGATCCAGCTATACCTTTAAGGTGGGCTGTAGGAGTCCTTTCTCAATCAGATGTGTCTTCAGGGTTTTATATATATTTAACTGCTGTTCCGGCTGAAGCACCAACAACTGCTGAAGCACTTTGCTGGGATTCGGACCCCTGATAACAAAGCAGAAAAGGCCAAGTTCATGCTATTTTGAGAGACCTAAAGGAAGCATATACCCCCAACTGAAAATAAATCATGTACTTAAGCGAAGAGTAACAACCTTTACTTGATCAAGCTCACTTTAGTGCCCAATGTTAGTGTCAGAGGGAGAAAAAACCCCGGAAATATTCGGCACCGAGAGGCATACAGTTTAGATTTGGGAAGAACGCACAAACACAAAATGCAGGAACAACACTAGGCAATCTAGGGGGTGCAGGTCTAAGTTCTACAAAGCTTCTCAAAGGGGCAACCTGAGTTAGAAGTGGGAACAGGGAATGAATCCTGACTGGTCAAGACACACAAACCATCCTGTAAGGAAAGAAGTCCTGGTGGATGAAGAGAAGCCAGAAGGGGACAGGAAAATATACTTTAAATTTTTAGCTTCAAAGAAACCACGAGACGTGCCCCTGGGGTATTATGAATGTTCGAGAGACAGGACGCAGGTGTTGACCTGGCACTGAAGCCGCTACCTGGGATCTGCAGTAGATGCCACAGGCTTTGTCCAAAGAAAGTCTTCGGTGAACCCCAATGTAGGAAACAAAAGTGGGTCCTTTCTCGTTGAAGGGAGGACGAGGAGGCGGACAGCCTGCCCTCCTCATGCCCCTGCCAGCAGTCCCAGGAGAGGGGAGGCGAGCCCAGGGGGAGCTGAGGCAGCAACATGGAGGCAGTGGTGCGGCGCACTCCCCCTTCTCTCCCAGGGGCGTCTCCTCCGGCAGCTCCCCCCAGCCTCCCTGCCCCAGCCCTCCATGTCGCACTTGAATCCTTGAATCAGAAAAGGTGCTAAACAGGACTCTTACCCTTTCCCTGCCCTGACACTTGTACGGTCAAGGGTTCGTAACCTCCCCCCACCCCCCATGGGACTCTAGAACTCAACCCGCTTACACCTGTGTGGCCTTCTACAGTGCTATTTTGTCACATTCAGAATGAACCGAATTTAGACTTTAATGCAGATGTGTCGTTCTCTGCGATTTCTACAGTCCATCTGAATATGAAAAGCAGGTTATGGTTCACTTCTTGTAAAGACAGATTAGTAAAATCCAATGGAAAACAGCAAGACATAAATGATATATGGGAGAAGGGCACCGAATTCTGAGAAAGACATTTACACAGGTAACTAAATTTATGATTAGGACTGTTCAGTTCAAATGGAATTATAGGAAATAGAAAACCCAGCAACAAAGAAATGTCTGCTATATAGGGATATCATAACAAAAGTCTTTGATTAAAAAAACCACAGCACAAATTAGCCATCCCCTGGGTTACCTTCGTGCACGTGCCTCAGCTCATCTGCCAAAAGTGTGGCCAGATGCCTCTCACAGCCACTGTCTACTCAAGGCAGGGCACAGCTTGTCTTACATTTCTTCAAAAGATTCAGCAACTTCCTAACAAACCCAGAGTAGGGGCCCACAGAGAAAAGGAAGAGTATTGTAGCAAGTTCAGCTAAATGCAAAATTATGTCAGCAGGCGCTCCCAGCTACATGCACCCTGGCACTAGCCCTGTATCTCTAATAGTCTAAATATTTGCTTTCAAATGGTAGACAATATGGCTCAGCATTACTTTTCTCTAGTGAGAGAATAGCAGGTTAAAAAAAAAAAAAAAAAGTGAGTTAATGCCCTAAAAGCTGCCACCATCTGAAAACAGAGTTCTAAGGATTTATTTTTTTTCCCAATTTTTTTTTTTTAAGATTTTATTTATTTATTTGACAGAGAGAGTGAGAGAGCACAAGCAGGGGGAACAGTAGAGGGAGAGGGAGAAGCAGGCTCCCCGCCAAGCAGGGAGCCTGACGTGTGGCTTGATCCCAGGACCCTGGGATCATGACCTGAGCCAAAGGCAGACGCTTAACCATCTGAGCCACCCAGGTGCCCCCAGAGTTCTAAGGATTTAAACATTAATTACTAATACTCAGATATATCAGGAACTGCCATATAAATGGATTAGACACTCCAACTAAAAAGACAAAGGTTGGGGGCGCCTGGGTGGCTCAGTCAATTAAGCCCCACCTTTGGTTCAGGTCATGACCTCAGGGTCCTGGGATCAAGTCCCACATCAGGCTCCTTGCTCAGTGGGGAGCCTGCTTCTCCCTCTCCCTCTGCTGCTCCCCACCCCCACTTATGCTCTCTCTCTTGCTCTGTCTCAAATAAAAATCTTAGAAAAAAAAAAAAAGACAAAGGTTGTCATCCGGGTTATTAAAAAAAAAAACTAAAATCAAGCTATATACTTGTTAGAAGAGAAATACACTATTTTTTTTAAAAGATTTATTTATTTATTTGAGAGAGCGAGAGTACACTATATAAATACTAACCAAAAGAAGGCTGATGCCATTCTTTTTTTTTTTTTTTTTTAAAGATTTTATCTATTTATTTGACAGAGAGAGACACAGCAAGAGAGGGAACACAAGCAGGGGGAGTGGGAGAGGGAGAAGCAGGCTTCCCGCCAAGCAAGAGCCTGATGCGGGGCTCGATGCCAGGACCCCAGGATCATGACCCAAGCTGAAGGCAGACGCCCAACGACTGAGCCACCCAGGTGCCCCTGATGCCATTCTTCTAATATCCAACAAAACAGGCTTTAAGCAAGTGGTATATAAAGATGGATGTTATAGAATGACATTAGAAGTGATTCAATAGGGAGATAGGACAGTCCTAAATGTGTATATACCTAAAACCACTGCAAAATACATAAAGCAAAAACTGGCAGACTAGGAATAAGTAAATTTACAATCACAGTGGGAGAGAAGGGGCCTGGGTGGCTCAGTGGTTGAGCGTCTGACTCTTGATTTTGGCTCAGGTCATGATCTCAGGGTCGTGAGGTTGGGCCCGAGTTGGGCTCCATGCTGGCTGTGGAATCTGCTTGGGATTCTCTCTCTCTCCCTCTACCCCTCCCTGCTTGTGCTCTCTCTCTAAAATAAATAGATAGGGCGCCTGGGTGGCGCAGTTGGTTAAGCGACTGCCTTCGGCTCAGGTCATGATCCTGGAGTCCCGGGATCGAGTCCCACATCGGGCTTCCTGCTCAGCAGGGAGTCTGCTTCTCCCTCTGACCCTCTTCCCTCTCGTGCTCTCTATCTCTCATTCTCTCTCTCTCAAATAAATAAATAAAATCTTTAAAAAAAAAAATAATCACAGTGGGATATTCTGACAAAGCTCTCTTCCTGAAAAAATGAAAAATGGAAAAAACAAACGAAACAATCAGTACAGAAGATTTAGCTAAACCTCACCTAACTGGCGTGTACAACCCTACATCCCCAACCTGCAGATGCGCACATGCTCCATGGCCACATGGACACATACCTGAACAGACTATATGCTGGGGCACAAAACAAGTCTCCACAACTATTAAAAACTGAAATAATAAAGAGTATGTTTTCTGACCATGTGGAATGAAGGCAAAAGTCAATAAAGGAGAATGAGGAAATCTCCATTTGTTTGGAAAGCAATCAATACACATCTAAATAATCCATGTGTCAAAGAAGGTATCATACTGGAAATCAGGAAATATTTGTAACTGATAATGAAAGTACAAACGTAACATGTAAGATGAGAATAAGGCAGTACTTAAGAGGGAATTTACAGTCTTAGATGAATATATCAGACAAGAAGGCTGAAAATCAATAACCTAAGCTTTATCTCAAGAAGCTCAAAAAGCAACAGCAAATTCCATCTCAAGAAAGATGAAAAGAATGAAAGATGCAAGTGGACATCAATGAAATAGAAAGTTAACAAAGCCAGAACTTGATTCTTTGAAAAGATTAATGAAATAAACTCCTAACAAGACTGCTCAAGAAAAATAAAAATTAATACAAAATTCCTATACTGCTCTGGGTATATATTTAAAATACGTGTTTAGGGATCTACAAATATGAGTTTCTAAATACTCTCTGAAGGAAGTACGTATTTTCTGTGGTCAGGCACTTAGTAGAGACCACAGAAAATAAAGTTAATGTGTGCTTGCTGTGGTTTGCTTTCACATCCCAAACTAGCATTTTAGGTCAGATCCAAAACCTTACGGGTTTAATAACAAGAATAAACCACCCTATATAAAAAAGCAACACCCCTCCATTCACCCCACTTCTCCACCTCCCAAACAACCATAATCCCCGGCCCACTTTATTTTTCTCCACGGCACTTAACCACCAGCTAACAAACTTGGTTTGTTTTTTGTCCGTCTCTGCCCCTTCTCTCTCCAGCTCCTCAGTAAGAATGTAAGCTCTGAGGGCAGGGACTTTTTTTGTTCTTTGCTCTATCCATGCCTAGAACATTCCCCAACACATCACAGGCACTCAAGAAATAACTGGCAGGGGCGCCTGGGTGGCTCAGATGGTTAAGCGTCTGCCTTCGGCTCAGGTCATGATCCCAGGGTTCTGGGATCGAGTCCCACATCGGGCTCCTTGCTCCTTGGGAGCCTGCTTCTCCCTCTGCCTCTCTCTCTCTCTCTCTCTCTCTCTCTGTCTCTCATGAATAAATAAATAAAATCTTAAAAAAAAAAAAAAAAAAAAAAAAAACTGGCAGACTGGATGAGTTATTAGTCCTCTTCTAGTTAGTATTCACTGTCACTGTATACCACAGAAAACAGGAAATCTGGTGATTCAATCCAGTGCCATCCACATTACCTAGATTTTACCTTGGCCCTATTAAAGACCATGACACATACTATTATTTAAGTTGTTCAAATGTGTGTAAAATAATTATAATTTAATTATTTCTTCTTCATTTCTCCTTAATCATACTTCTCAGGGCTACAATGTGACACAAACCCCAGGGGCCACCATTCCCTTTTTATATTATAAATTACCACTGACAGAAAAAGTAACTCATTTAAACTAATGCCTATGGAAATGAGAACTCAAAGAAATCATCTAATAAAACATTTTTTAAAAATCTAAAAGTACCTTATAAAACTTGTGATGTACACGTGCACAAAAGTTGCCATCAAATACTGACAATCAAATCTGTCCATTATCCCGCCATGTCCAGGAATGGTGTTTGCAAAATCCTTCAGAAACAAACAAACATATGAGCAAATTCTCAAAAAATCGCCTGCTATAAAACTCCTACCTGTACATGTCTCTTGGCATCAGGAGCTCTAAAGAAAATACTTTACTACTGGATTTCCTCACTAAATACAGACTTACTAGAACATGTCTCACAAGTTAAAACCACATCTTTCAAATACGTACCCATGTTAGAATCATTACCGAATTGACCAAAAGCATTCAAGTAACACTAATTAAATATTAATTAAACTAGCACTAACTTTTTTAAGTTAATAAACCTTTTTCTAAATCAGAAGCGCTATCGGCTATTATTAATCTAACATTGTTCTAGCTTACTTTTCTGTTTAACCAGAAATTATTTGAGGAGCTCTTTTTAGTGTTGTTGACAGATGTACTACTAGTTCTAACTCATGTTTATCCTAATAGTTTTTACTCTGAAATAAATATTTTGCTACTATAATGCATATTCTTCTTTAAGTATTGGGGTAAAAAGAAAACCAAAACAGATCATGTGGGACACATTAGTCCATTAAATGGCCAAGTGGAGGGAATGGTTAGTAAGTCTCTCAAGTGGACTCTATAGATCAAGACACATGTCTGGGTGCTAAGGATATGGAAATGACAGACTGCTCTTCTAGCATACGCAGGCAACCTAAAAACATCTAAATGCAACAGCTATTATACCTTCATTTCAGACATGCAAAATTATCTATCATTCAAGAATAAACCTTGCATTAAAGACCACTGAAGAAAATACCATTCTAAATGTAACATTTCTCTGTTTCAAACAATTACTGAAAAATTCTTCGGTTACTTTTTCCCCACACATTTCCTTCCTTCTCTTCCCTATTCTCTGAAGCGACAAGAGAGCCATAGTAACTCAATTCCACTCTGCTGTTTGCAGCCTTGACATGACAGTCTTCATGCACAGTTCTTGCTGTGGTTCACTGTGGGCAAGTGTTGTCTTCCCTAGCAGGTGGTGAGCCTCTGGAGAACAGGTACATTTATATGCTTCCACATACTGCATTCCACCTAACATAGTATCTTCCCCCTTTTAAGTGCTCACTGAGTGTTTGTTTATTTCCCCGGCTTCTGCAGCCCCATGTGACCTGGCCCCACCAATTCTGCAGTCTGAATGCCTCCTCTCTACTACAGTCACACTGTTCTCACTCCCCTTCAAACAGGCTAAGCTCCTCCTCTCCTTTGCACTCGCTGGAACTCTCTTCCTTCCACTTCTCTACAGGACTCATTCTCCTTTTCTCAGACCCCTGCTCAAATGCCACCTCCTTCAGAGAGGCCTGCTCTGTTCACCCCACTTTCAATTGCCACTCTCTGACTCCCAATGGCACAACATTCAATCTTAGTGAAGGCATGTGAGGGCAGCTGGGATAACAGGGTAAAATATATGTGACTTTATGAGAATCCAAATTAAATGAAATACAGGGAAAATTTCAAGTATCTGGAAGAGAGATCAGCAAACTATGTCCCATAGTCCAAGTCTAGCCCACTGCCTGTTTTTGTAAAAGTTTTATTAAAACCCAGTCACGGCCATTAATTGACATATTGCCCCCAGGGCTTTGCACTACAGTGGCAGAGTTCAGAGCTGAGTAGCTGCAATATGATTAATAAATGATTTCTCCCTTTACAGGAAGAGTTCACTGACCCCAGATCTAGGAGAATAGATGGTTATATCCAAAGGCTCCCCAGCTCGTCTCTTCAATCGAGACTGTGGCACAACACGTAAACTTCAGACAATTCACAGCTGGGTTTTTGGATGAGCACTTGAAGGACCAAGATTCTGTGTTTGTCCCAACATTAAGTGACCACGTGCCAATTCTATAAATGAGGCTGACATAACACTTTAAAATGTATTAACATGGCATGTCCAAAATTTAACGAGAGAGAATATACTCAAATCAGCCAGGAAGCATTTCTGTGAAGCTGAAACAAATAGGATGTTAAAAGTTTTTGCCCAGAGGCTTAATGTGGGAGACCAAGAAAGAACCAAATTACAACTATATTATATTCTCGAATTATATTCCCTAATAATGTAACAAAGATTCTAAACACACACCTTGATTTTGAAAGCTCTTTTGAATCCACTGGCAAAGAAGCCGCCAAAAGGGCCAATCAAAGATGCAAACGTTGAAAGAGCAATGCTGTGTATCTGGAAAGGATACAAGCTCACTGTTTCCTAAAGAGAAAATAAAGGGGGAAGGGATTTAACTGCATTAAAGTTGTATTTGAGCATGCCACCTAAACTAAGAACCATGCTATAAATATTAAACCATTATACCACATTTTTGTTAACTTCATAAACTTTCAGGACCATGGGAGAAAAATATGTTGTAAGCTGGCATTCCCATCCTCTGCTTAGCCAGCACTCTCCATTCCCTCTCTAAGCATACTGACGACACCTGGCACACTAAAATCTTGCAGTTGGCAGGATACTCTAGTTCATCTAGAAACTTCTATAACACTTGATTTGTAGGCTTGGTAAGAATCAGTTAATTTCTGAATTTGTTTCTTACAAGTAGAACTTTATAATTGTAACTTTTGTATTTTATTTCACTTTAATTTTATATGACAAAATGAGGAAAAAGTTGGTCTTTAAGTTGCTTTAAAAAAGACCACCAAAGTGAGCATCAGCAAGACAGTCATAAAAGATTCAGGGAGGAGATAATAAAAATTGAGAAGAATTCTGCAGGCAAATTATTTTGTAAATTCTTGATTCTTGCTCCACTTTAGATAGACTGAAACTACAAATTGTAGACAGTGCATAAATAGGTAGGCTTTAGAAAGATCATTCAGAACACCAATCTCGACCTGTTCTGAAAGCAAAGGCCTTGCCCCAAAGACTGGTAGTATCAAAAAGTTTCAGAGCAGATAACAGATGGCTTGGACATTGAAAAAAATTCTTGGATTCAATGTATTGCACACACAAGGAGAGAAATGATTTGTTGGTTAACCTGCTCCTCAAAAATTATGGACTTTAGTTAAAAATATTTCAGATACACACACGTACACAGCACACACACACAACTGTTTGATTCCTTACTCGAACCAACTACCCACCAGTCTTGATGGCAAGTATCAGCAGGGTTCTAATGGACAGCTTGCCAACATCCTTCAGTGAGAGACCTCAACACTGCCTTTAAATGGCAACAGTGTGCTTTTCAAAGGGAAATTGATTTTTTAGAAGCAGCAGTTTCTGTACTATTAAAGGTCCCCTAAAAATCAAGGAATCTTTGAGCTGTTGAATTTTAATTAAGCTTTAAATTGAGTCAGTTCCTACCAGTTACAAGTGAAGCTCATTGTAACCCCTTTGATTTTTAGAAATCTAAGGAATACTGGAAAATGTTTTCAAAACAAACAAGATAAATTACCATCAGTTATCATTCAAACCACTAGGGATGTAAATTCCTAACAGACAGCTGGTTTGTGATAGTAATACTCATTTTATGTTCAAGAAAGGGAAATCACAAAGGGATAGAAAATATTATTGATGCTAAGCAGACAGTGATACCACTTTTGTAGCAAAGAGTTAAAAATTCTGTAGAAATTGATTTCTTGTAAAAAGTTTAGTCCTACTTTAAATGAACCTGAATCTTTGGGATACAGGATCCTTAACTATGTTTATCTTACCTGTCTCAACACTGCCTTTAGAAAGGGAGGAACTGAATAACTCTGAAGCTGGAAAAGTTCGGAGGGTTCACATTCTGTAACAAAGGAGTTTACATCACTTCGGTATTCCACTGGGCAGACAAAGTATTGGTATTTGGATAACATGTAGGCAGCCTGAATAACAAAGCAAGAGTCCATGAAACATTGAATGAAAAAAAAATATATACATATATAAAATATTTATCAATCTCTTTTCATTAGACTCTTCAAAAATTAAACTTCCTAACATTTTTTGTATACATATCTTTTATCCAGTCATTTCATTGTATCTTTGATTCTCACAGACCTCTTTTAATAAAAACCTAAATTCCGTAACTGTACACTAATTTTTAAAACATTAACAGTATCTGTTATGCATGGCTAAAAGTCAATGTCAATTATTTTTAACTGTTCCTGCAAGTTGGGCTCACAGCAACACCCACTAAGTCAATTAGCTAGTATGCATTAAGGAGGCAGAGTTCTTCATCATCATTTGCATTCTCTGCTTTACTCAAGGCCACTACTTGTCCCAGCACCTGTGTCCCCCTTAAGGCAGAACAAGCCTAACTATACATTAGAATCAGCTGGGGGAGTTAACTGACTTGGGATAGGGCTGGGACATAGATTTTGTGTAAGATCCCCAGGTAATTCTGATACGAGGCCATGATCAGAGCTACTGGGGTACAGAATTGGTTCTGTTTAGTGGGTTTCAATAAATACATTATTAACATTTTGTGGTTCAGTTTTTTAGGTTTAGAACAGATTAATAAAACTTGCCATCATTTTTCAAAATATAAATAAAAATCCCAGCAAAACTCACAATGAATCCAAACACGACTGTGGAAAAGAAACCGCCAATGAATCCTTCCCAAGTCTTTTTAGGAGACAACTAAAAAGGCCAAATAAATTAAAAAGAGTTACTACACTCACAAAACACACAAATACATATGCAAACTCTCTTCAATGAATTCCCACAATACCTTATACATCTCTCCTTACTTTTTTCTTACTGGAATGGCTCTGCAACCCTTTTTCCTTCATCCATGATCCTGATTTATTTGTGCAATTTCTCTAGTAATATCTAACATATTAGACCCTCAAACATTTGGACATACTGTGAATATATCTGTTTCTGTATAACCTCAACTTATTTTTTTCTCTCTCAAAGAACTATAAACTCTAGATTGAAATCATCATCCCATGACTTTTATGCTTATATAAACCCCCACAATAGTGTAGTTCTTGCAGTAAGGATAAGATGTACTCATTCCAAGTACATATGGTTTGTATTGAACTACCACTGACAAAAAAATAGAATGAGTATAACAAAACATGGACATTGCAGCACATCAGATTTTCGTATATTCCCAAAAATGCCATGCATACAACAGACCTCTTTCTGAAATGGCAAAACACTCCAGATACAGTATTTGCTCCACAAGTATTCACATATCCTTCTCCCTTTGGTCACAATCTATGTCTGTCTCCATGAAGAAAGGAACATGTTGTGCTTCTAAGAATAGATACTGTTTCAGATTCCGGCTATTGTTTCTCAGTCAATGGGGCATTCAGGCAGAGAAATCTGGAGGAAAGTTTGGAAATCAGTGATGCAGGGGCAGGAGGAAAAGATTTGGGAGTGTCCACACAGCACTAAATGCCTGAGGTGCCCTATAAGATAAGGACTGATATACAGGGATCTGGTCATCTGGAGATCACTGATGACCTCTGTGATGACCCTTTCAGTGGATGGGTGGGGACAGAAGCCAAATAAATATCAGAAGTTTATGCAGATAGAAACAGGTGACAGGCTAAACTACATGATCTCTTTATAGACCTCTTGTCCTAATGGTGTTCATAAAGCCCAAGGCCAAAAGGGTCGATAGAAACAGTTTCTTGACAAATCTGTTAACAATTCTGCCACAGAGAAGACACTGATATACACCATTTCCTAGGACAATTCAGTATTACTGTCATGAAGTAGGAGTTGACTCAAATTCAAAAGTGCCTGTTGATTATTTTAAAGATAATTTATCAGGCACCTGGGTGGCTCAGTTAGTTGGGCATCTGGCTCTTGATTTCCGCATAGGTCATGATCTCAGGGTCCTGGAATTGGGCCCTGTGTCAGGCTCTGTGCTCAGCAGGGGAGTCTACGTGGAGATTCTCTCTCTCCCTTCATTCTGCCCCCCCTGCCAACTTGTATTCTCTCTCTCTCAAATAAATAAATCTTTGAAAAAAATAAAGATAACTTATCAAATTAAATTGATCTATATCAAATTGATTTAGGGGTTAACTTATTTAATTACATATGGGTATATTACACAACTAATCCAGTCTGGTAAATTCACTAGGAATCTATGTTCAAAATCAGACAGTAACATTCTTCTACAACCAAAACAGCCCCTTTGAAGACTTCCTAAGCCAAAAACTTCTCATCTGGTATAGAAGCCTTTAATATTTAAATCACTTGCTCTTATGCTGAAGCAGCTTTAGAAATGTTATACACACACACACACACACACACACACACACACACACACATATAGCTTGCTTGCCAGTATCCCTACAGCTCAGCCTGATGTTATATGCTAGACTCCTATATGGGGAAGAATTTATGGAAGATTTTCTTGAAGGATAAGCAGTCCATGCTTTCCTCTGGAAACACTTAAGCTACTCTTGTATCACTCTGATCAAACAGGTTTTGTATCAGCACAACTGTCTCAATCCCTCCAAACTGCGTTCATACAGTTACATCAAAATAGCCAATTAACATATTTGTGGGAATATTATTAAAGACTTTGCCCAATACATGGATGAAATGAATCATATCTAAAGCCCCAACATGAAAAGTTTGTTTAAAAGTAATCAATTCTAGTAAAAGGTCTGTTTTTCCATGAGGAATCGGTTTCTTTCTTCCCCCAAAGGAGAACTATATAACTTAATTCATTTCCTTCCTTGCCTCCACTGACTGTAAGTAGAACCAAATCTAAGGCAAAACAACATGGTCTGCACATGTGTATTTTTCTTTTCCTTATCTTAACCTTTACTTATTACTTGCATTATCAGTTTTTTATTGTAGGGCCTCAGGGTTTTTTTGAAATGAGTTTGGGTGTAGAAGTTTTACAAATGGACATGAGTATGTGAAGATGGTTAAGTGTACACTTTCAAAAAATTTGGTAAGGGAGGTGATAAATGAGATGGTTTGAGGGGAAAGCAGAGTCTAGGAAAGGCTTGTTTGTAGGGTCGCTAGAGAATGGAAGACGATGACTTGCACTATAGCTAACGGAAAGAAACCAGTAGAAAGATGAAATAAGCCTTCACAAGAAGGAGGATAACTGATGGAGTCAGGTCCTTATTGATGGAGCCAAGAGAATGTCTCATGAAGAATTTAGATGATTCCAATCATTGGGAAAATGGCTCACTGCCCCTACACTGTGGCTGTTAAATACAGCTATGGGAAAATCAAAGCACCTCATAAATAAAAATGTGCAACAGCACCAAATTGTTGGAAATTTTCTCCAGTGGCTCATCTTTAAGGTTATGGTAATGGCCTACTTGAGATGTTGTTTCCATTACCTTAATTAATGGAGTTCTCCCAAAAAAAAATCCAAAAAGGTAAGCAGTTATGTCATTGCAAATAACACTTGATATTGGAACAAGGAACCTTAAAGAAAATCAGAAAAAAAAGTCCATATGATTAAGTGGCAAACATTTATACAGGATATGACTCATAATGAACCAATGCAATAACCCTTTGGATTATACTGCAGCTTCATCCAGAACATAACATTTGCCAAAACAGTAGTAGAAATGATAAATATCAAGTAAATTTGCCCAGATCTGCTTAATGCAATTCAGCAGAGCAAAATCTATAAATAAACCAATATACCAGGAGAATATTGCTAATGAAAATATTAATCAATTTAATTTTAATATTAAGCAATCCATTTCTATAGCTATAGACTTTCAAATTTCAGTTTATGAGGAACAAGTTATAATAGCACAAAAAATTTTTAAAAAAAGCAGCCTTTCAAAATGGAAATGAGTCATTTGTTTAGACACAATATAATCTCATAAATTTATACCAAGCTCTTAATACAAATTCTTTTTCAGGAAGAACTATCAATTTTAATTCTACCTTAGCCTATAGTTACATTAAACCCTACTAATTGTACAGAACCTACTAATTTCAGTAACTGCCACCTATCAATTAGAAGTTTGCATATGGAAGACAATCTTAAAATGATTCTGTTTTACACACACACACACACGCACACACACACACCTTGGTATAAAAAAACCCAAACATGAAGCTGTGAAGGGTTTTATCTTGACAAAACCTACCAACTATAAAAGATTTTAATTAATGGGTTTAAAAAGAATGTGGGGATAATATGGTCAGACTTCTTAAATCGTTTTTCTCCACTCTTATTTTTAACTAATAATTTTTATAATTTCAAACTAATAAAAATGCTTTTTGAATCTTCAAGTCACTGCCACACAGCAAGTAATTCCATCTGAAATCTGGACACCCACTCCCATATAAAGGCAGAGTAGAACCTACCCAACTTTCACCCAGAGAAAATACATTGGCAGCACACTGTTTGCTAACAAGCAAACTTTCATGTTCTTTTGCATTCCACAAAAATAATACGCTCTTTTTAAAGTCTATTTATGCTTTGTAAACAGCCACATTAAGGTGTAGTTAACACCTGAAAATGTAATTAATTTGGGGAGCTTTTATGAGGACTTCCTGCATTTTATTTGGAACCCGAAAAAGAAGGGTTTTCAAGTTGTTAACAAAGTGCTTGTCTTCAGTTGTCAAATAGTGAGCAAAACTCAGTAAGGTATTTTAGTGAAAGAGAGCAACAATAAAGAGTACATTTTAGCAGAAATCTACAAGACACTGTCCAATGTGAAAGAGCTTTAAAAAGGCTAGGACACAAATACAAAGCAGCATAATGCTGTCCCCTTACCATATCATGCCTTCAAACAGATTTTGGATGACAAGATGTGACTGAGTAACTGTTATCAGTAAAGTGACATGAGTCCATGCGAACTGTTAATAGCCCAACAACACAACAATTAGTGAACACAGCTGATCAGTGCAGCCCTGGAGCAAAATAGCAATTTTGAAACATAAATTTCTAGCATGACTTTTGGTTAAATTTTGTAAGATAGGGATTGTATAAAATAAATGCTATTAGTAAATCATAGTCATTTTGGTGCCTACTGGAACCTTAAAACCACGAAGACATTTAACAATCTTAATTCATACACAAATGGAATGCTAACAATATTGAGAAATACTACTGAATTTAAAAACATATACAAAATATACAACAATCTTGAATCATTAGATTAAAATGATAATGAGAAATTTATGGTGGTGTTACAGCATTTAGAGAGGAACATTTTACTCTGGCTGCATTCTGCATTAAAAATGTGAAAAGCTGGGGCGCCTGGGTGGCTCGGTCGTTGGGCGTCTGCCTTCGGCTCGGGTCATGATCCCGGGGTCCTGGGTTCGAGCCCCATATCGGGCTCCCTGCTCAGCGGGAAGCCTGCTTCTCCCTCTCTCCCTCTCTGAGCTTGTGCTCCCTCTCTCGCTGTGTCTCTCTCTGTCAAATAAATAAAATCTTTAAAAAAAAAAAAGATTAAAAAATAAATAAATAAATAAATAAATAAAAATGTGAAAAGCTATTCTTTTGGAGTTCATTATGGTAACTTTTTCCCATAAAGAGTTACTTCTGCCTTCAAATAATTCAAACCAGCAGGGACCAGTTACCCTTAAACACCAGGTTTCCATACTTGAAAGTTGGCCTTTACAGTACTATTTAATGACAGTATTCAATTTCAGAATTTCAAACTTGTGTGTTTCATCAAGTCCACTTAGCCTGAGAGATGCCACTTTAGTAATTCTTTTAGCATCACCAGTATGAGTAGAATGTGAATTAAAAAAAGTTTCTATATATTTGTCTCATAATTTTGACTGGAATTTATAAAATGTTCAACATTCTTAAGATTTGGATTTATTCATAATAAACCTATTTCCCATTTTGGCAAATAATATATTAGTTTATTTTTATCTGGATAAAAGGTCAAAATCTCTTTTATCTTGGTTGCTTCAAAATGCATAAATGATTTTTTTCCAATAGGCACCATTTATATTTTCATAGGAGATTCTATTATCTCTAACTTGTCTTGATGGTTTCTAGATTTTCCTAGATAATTTTACTCTCCTCTTAGGATCCCGGAAAATGAGAAATGTAAAGAAATACTACAGTTTCCCAGTGATGATGCTCAGCAGAATGTCTCAGTGGAGAAAAGCAAAGCAAAAAAATAGGAAATATATCCAAATCCAAAACAAGCCTTATTAATACATGAATTCACAGAATTAAATACTATATTTTCTGTTTTATAATCTTATAATTAGCTACCTTTTAAGAAAAGAAGAAAAGTTCATCATACACAGTGATAAACTTCATAAAATACTCAACACATTTCAATGATAAACTGCATAAAACACCTTGGGGCAAAAAGAATTATGCAATTAACTACGTAACTAACCAAAGCTACCAAGAAAATGTATGTTCTGTTCTCTCTATGCTCAGGCTAAGGACAAATAAATATAGTTACTTTCCATAGAAAAGTATGGTAGATACTTTGAAAACAGTTAAAATTTTTAAATCTTCAAAAATTGTACAACTTAAACCTTTTGTATTTAATAGTCATCCAAAATTGAAATACCCCTCATATTTAGGCAAAACATCAACTAGCAGATTAGATCTTCTCACTATAGAAAAAAAATAAAGATAAGCACGTTTTTATTATACATAGTTATGGTTGATACAGACCATATAAAACTGCAGACGATAATGTTTCTTCACCAAACTCAGCACAAACATGCAGAAACCTGTTTAAGAACAAAAAACATGTGCTTGTTGTGCAATCTGTTATAAAATATAAGATTCACTGAGCTCAAATAAGCCAATTTTCTGTACCACTTCCATGTATACTTTAGCATTTACTCACAGGCCACCTCTCCTACTCACGGTAAGCATTTTAAATAAAAGTTTATTGAGTGAAATAATCTTGTATTCTCCAAAATGCCTAATATATTCCATGGTATAAACTCAATAAACATCCCCTGAATTAAGTGAATTAGTCCCTTGCAAATATGTGGACATAGAAAAACAGATCCTGAATTTCAGTTGAATGAAAGTTATTTGGTAAGAGTTCATTTTTCAGCAGGAACTCAGCAGGTCAGAATGGAGTGGCATGCCATAATCAAAGTGCTGGAAGGAAAAAACCTACAGCCATACTCTATCTGGCAAGGTAATCATTTAAATTTGAAGGAAAGATAAAGAGTTTCCTAGACAAACAAAAGATAAAGGAGTCTTACAAGAAGAGTTAACGGGACTTCCTTAAGTAGAAAATAAATGGCCATAAGTAGACGTAAGAAAATAATGAATAAAAGATGTGGGGCACCTGGGAGGCTCAGTCAGTTAAGCCTCGGACTCTTGATTTTGGCTCAGGTCATGATCCCAGGGTTGTGAGATCAAGCCCCACATCAGGCTCTACACTGGGTGTGGAGTCTGCCTAAGAGTCTCTCCTTCTCCCTTTGCCCCTCCCCCTGCTCACATTCTCTCTCTCAAATAAATAAATAAATCTTTGAAAAAAAAAAAAAGGATGTAGGGTGCCTGGGTGGCTCAGTTGGTTAAGTGTCTGCCTTCAGTTCAGGTCATGATCCCAGGGTCCTGGAATCAAGCCCTGCATTGGGCTCCCTGCTCAGTGGGGAGTCTGCTTCTCCTTCTGCCCCTCCCCACCACTCCTGCTCTCTCACACATACACTCTCTCTCTCAAATAAATAAAACCTTAAAAAAAAAAAGATGTAAAATATGATCACATATACATAAAACATGGGGGCGGGAATAAAAAAGGGGGCAGGGAGGAAAAAGAAAAGTTTTTTTTTTCTTTTTTTTTTTAAATAAGAATGAGTTTGATCTTAAATAACCATTAAATTAATGTAGACTGCTATTTACTTAGGATGTCATATATGAATCTCATGGTAACCACAAACCTAAAACCTATAATAGATACATAAAAAATAAAAAGAGAGAACACCAAACAGAAGACTATAGAAACTCATCAATGACAAAGAAAGAGTGCAGAAGAAGGAACAGAGAAGAACTACAGGAACAAAAGATAAAGGAGTCTTACAAGAACAGTTAACGGGACTTCCTTAAGTAGAAAATAAATGGCCATAAGTAGACATAAGACTAAACCAATCAGGAAACAAATAACAAAATGGCAATATCTATCAATAATTACTTTAAATGTAAATGGCCTAAATGTTCCAATTGAAAGACCTACAATGGCAGAATGGATAAACAAACAAGACCCATTCACCTGCTGCTTACAAGACACTCACCCCCCCTCCCCCGATCTAAAGACACCCACTGAAAGCAAAGAGATGATAATGCATTTACCATGGATATGGAAGTGCAGGGGGGGAAGCAGGGTAGCAATACTTATATTAGACAAAGTAGACTTTAAAATAAAGACTGTAATGAGAGATAAAGAAGGGCTTTACATAATGATAAAGGGATCAATCCAACAAGAAGATATAACAATTGTAAACAACTATACACCCAACACTAGAGCACCTAAATGCAGAAAGCAAATAATAATGGGCATAAGGGAAAAACTGATGGTAATACAATATTAAAGGAGTTTAACATACCACTTATACATCAATGGACAGATCATCTAGGCAGAAAGTCAACAAAAGAAACAGTGTCTTTGAGTGACACATGGGACCAGATGGACATAACGGATACATACAGAATATTCCATCTAAAAACAGCAGAACAGGGGTGCTTGACTGGCTCAGTTGGTAGAGCATGTGATCTCGATCTCAGGGTTGTGAGTTCAAGCCCCACATTGGGTGTAGAGATTATAAATAAACACACTTTTAAAAATAAATAAATAATAAAAAAAATAACAGAATACACATTCAAGTGCACATGGAACACTCTCCAGAAGAGATCACATATTAGGCCACAAAACAAACCTCAATAAATTTAAGACTGAAATCATACCATGTATCTTTTCCAATCACAATGGTATGAAACCAGAAATAAATCACAAGGAAAAAAATGGAAACAACACAAACACATGGAGGCTAAACAATATGATCCTAACAACTAATGGGCTGAAAGAAATCAAAGAAAAAAAAAACATTGAGACAAATGAAAATGAAAACACAATATCTAAAATCTTTGGAACACAGTGAAATCAGTTCTAAGAAGAAAACACATAGTGGTACAGGCCTCCCTCAAGAAAGACGAGCTCAAATAAATAACCTAACCTTACATCTCAAGGAACTAGAAAAAGAACAAGCAAAGCCCAAGGTCAGTAGAAAAAAAAGTAAATAATAAAGATCAGAGCAGAAATAAATGACACAGAAACTAAAAAACACAGTAGAAGAAAAAAAGAAATCAATGAAACCAAGAGCTGGTTCTTTGAAAAGATAAACAAAATTGATAAACCCTTAGGCCAGACTCATCAAGAAAAAAGACCCAAATAAGATGAGAAATAAGAGAGTGATAACAACTAAAACCACAGAAATACAAAGGATTACAAGAGACTACTATGAAAAATTATATGCCAACAAATTGAGCAATCTAGAAGAAATGGATAAATTTCTAAAAATATACAATCTTCTAAAATTAAATCAGGAAGAAATAGAAAATCTGAAGAAACTGATTACAAGTAAAGAAACTGAATCACTAATCAAAAACCACCAAAAAATTAAAGTCCTGGACTAGATGGATTCACAGGTCAATTCTACCAAACATTCAGAAAATAATTAATACTTATTCTCCTCAAACTATTCCAAAAAAATAGAAGGAAAACTTCCAAATATATTCTACAAAGCCAGCATTACTCTGATACTAAAACCAGACAAAGATACCACAAAAAAACAAAACCTACAGGCCAATATTCCTGAACTTGGATGCAAAAATCCTCAACAAAATATTAGCAAACCATGGACAACAATACACTAAAAACATCATTCACGAGGATCAGGTGGGATTTATTCCAGAAATGCAAGCATGATTCAATATCCACAAATCAATGTGATACACCACCATCAACAAAATGAAGTATAAACATCATATGATCATCTCAATACTTGCAAAGCATTTGACAAAACCTAACATCCATTCATGATAAAAAAAACTCTCAACTAAGTGAGGTTAGAATATGTATACACACTTACACACTTAAACACACACAAAACCCACAGCTAATATCACACTCAACAGTGAAAAACTGAGAGCTTTTCCTCTAAGATTAAGAACACGACAAGGATGTCTATTCTCCCCACTTCTATTCAACATAGTACTGGAAGTCCAAGCCACAGCAATCAGACAAGAAAAAGAAATAAAAGTCATCCATACTGGTAAAAGTTGAACTGATGAGGACATGATACATAGAAAATCCTAAAGACTCCACCAAAAAACTATTAGATGTTTAAATGAATTCAGCAAAGTTTCAGGATACAAAATTAATACCTAGAAATCAGTAGTGTTTCTACACACTAATAATGAGGTAGCAGAAAGAGAAATTAAGAAACCAACATCATTTATAATTGCACCAGAAAGAATAATACCTAGGAATAGACTTAACCAAAGAGGTGAAAGACCTGGACTCTGAAAACTATAAAACATTAATGAAAAAAAATTGAAGATGACACAAATGGAAAGATATTCCATGCTCATGGATCATGATAATATTATTAAAATGTCCATATTACCCAAAGCAATCTACAGAGTCAATGCAATTCCTATCAAAATACCCACAGCATTTTTCACAGAACTAGAACAAATAATTTGTATGGAACCTCAAAAGATCCCAAATAGCCAAAGCAAGGCAGGGGGAAAAAGCTGGAGATATCATACTCCTGGGTTTTAAGATATACTACAAAACTGTAGTAATCAAAACAGTATAATACAGACACAAAAAGACACATAGATCAATGGAACAGAGACCCCATAAATAAACCCATGATTAATGGTCAATTAATCTATGACAAAGGAGGCAAGAATATAAAATGGGATAAAGATAGTCTCTTCAATAAATGGTGCTGGAAAAACTGGACAGCTACATGCAAAAGAAACTGGACCACTTCTTAACACCATACACAAAAATAAACTCAAAATGGATTTAAGACTTAAATGTGAGACCTGAAACCATAAAAATCCTAGAAGAGAGCACAGGCAGTAATTTCTCTGACATCAGCCACACCAACATTTTTCTAGATGTGTCTCCTAAGGCAAACAAAAATAAACTATTGAGACTACCTTAAAATTAAAGCTTTTGTACAGCAAAGGAAACCATTAACAAAACAAAAAGCAATCTAATAAATGGGAGAAGACATTTGCAAATGATGTATCCAATAAAGGATGAATATCCAAAATACACAAAAAACTTCTATAACTCAACACCAAAAAAACAATCTAATTTAAAAATGGGCAGAGGACCTGAATACACATTTTCCAAAGAAGACATACAGATGGTAAGCATGAAAAGATGCTCAACATCACTAATCATCAGGGAAATGGAGGAAACAGTTGACAAAACCAAAAGACAACTGACAGAATGGGAGAAGATATTTGCAAATGTCTTAGCAGATAAAGGGCTAGTATCCAAAATCTATAAAGAACTTATCAAATACAACACCTAAAGAACACACAGTCCAATCAAGAAATGGGCAGAAGACATGAACAGACATTTCTCCAAAGAAGACATCCAAATGGCCAACAGACACAGGAAAAAGTGCTCAACATCACTCGACATCAGGGAAATATAAATCAAAACCTAAATGAGATACCACCTCACACCAGT